TCTCCATTCTCCTCTTTTGCCTGTAGCGAGACCGAAAGAAAAGGAAAGTGCCCGCCCTTCCATTCCTTTCTGAGACGAGTAAAAACATAGAAGGAATAGGAAGAGGGCAGGGGTAGAATTGAAGAGAGAAGAGAGCGATGGAAAAGCAATGAAAACAGAATTGTCTTGTCTGTCTACGCAACGCCCCCTTCTTCTCATCGTGTATTCTTTTGTCTTCGATGTGTGCGTTGTGTTCCGCTTCTCCTTTTCAAGAAGATAGCGTATCCATTGTTCTCAACAAGATAAGAGAGAAGCGCTCTTGTCCATTCTTTGTTGTTTTCCTCCTACAGTCTCTTCCTCTCTCGCTGAATGAGAAAAGAAAAGAGCAAGGGCAACGAAAAGAGACAAGAAAAACTCCTTCCTCCTTTTTTAGCAGTTCCCTTGAATTTCCTAAACGCAAAAGAACAGAAGACATAGGAAACACAAGAGAGAAGGAAGGCAAAAAGAAGAGTGCAATGGAATTCAGCCCTGCCCTGAGGGAGCCTCCCTTCTTGCCACCAACAAAACGATGCATCCTTCCGTCTTTTCTCGTCCATTTGCTTCTCTTGTCCATGTCTTCTGTTCATTCATTTGTCTTGTGAAAAGAAAGAACAAGGAAGAGAGAGAGAGAGAGAGAGAGAGAGAGAGAGAGAGAGGGAGAGAGAGAGAGAGAGAGAGGGGAGAGGGGGAGAGGGGGAGAGGATGATGGTATCGAGATCGGGGTGTGCTCTTGCATGTTCAGTTCCTCCCTGTAAGAACAGAGTGAACAAAGAGGGAAACTAAAGAGGACGGAGAATGAAAGTAGTGAGTGGTTTTGGTTTGCCTTGTATATGTGAATGTCTTTCTGTAAGGAGAGAGCGACAGCAGGGGAAAAGAAACCCGAGGACGGATGAACGTAGTGACTGAAATTTGTTTGCCTTGTGTTTTTATTTGTCTTTGTGTAAGGAGAGAGCCAAAGAACAGGGAGAAGAGGGAGAAGGAATTTCTTCCCCCTGTTGTTTGCCCGATCCTCACAAAAAGAGAACAGCGAAGCACTCTTGTCATGTCCTTGTTGCGTCGCTCTCTCATTTTGGCAGCGAGCCAAAGACTGTCTCCTTCCCTGCCTTCTCGTCAGTTTATCTTCTTGCATTTTCAATTTTCGCGTGTGTAAGAGCAAAGTGAACAGAAGAAAGACGACAAGGCATGAAGGTAGTGAGATTGACTCCTCATCTTCTTACGTTTTACTCTTCTCCGTTGTAAGAACACGGCAAAGAAGAGGCTGAAGAAGTGAGAGGGAGTGTGAAAACCTTTTGTCGACCTATTCCCTTCAATCTGCTCGAATAGAAGACGGAACACATGACGTCGGAGCACGAGAAAGAAGGCAGCAGTGGGAGAATAATTGGACTCAAGCCTGCTCTAGGGAGAGAGAGGGGAGAGGGGAGAGGAGAGAGGAGAGAGGAGCGAGGAGCGAGGAGCGAGGAGCGAGGAGAGAGAAGAGAGAAGAGAGAAGAGAGAAGAGAGAAGAGAAGAGAGAAGAGAGAAGAGAGAAGAGAAGAGAGAAGAGAGAAGAGAGAAGAGAGAAGAGAGAAGAGAGAAGAGAGAAGAGAGAAGAGAGAAGAGAGAAGAGAGAAGAGAGAAGAGAGAAGAGAGAAGAGAGAAGAGAGAAGAGAGAAGAGAGAAGAGAGAAGAGAGAAGAGAGAAGAGAGAAGAGAGAAGAGAGAAGAGAGAGAGAGAGAGAGAGAGAGAGGAGAGAGGAGAGAGAGAGAGGATGAGATGTTTCCTTGCGTGTTCATGTTTTTACTTCCCAGGATCAGAGCTGAACAGATCTAGAGGAGAGGAGAGGGGGTTTCTTCTTTTCCGCTTATTTATCCGTTGTTTCTCAAGAAAACAGAGAGAGATGCACTCTTGTCCAGTACTGTGCCTTCCTCTCTGGCTGACTGAGAAAAGACAAGATCAAGGACATCAAAGGGACAGGGAAACCAATCTATCCCTAAAAAAGGAACAGAAGACATAGGATCGCAGGCAAATGAGAGCGAACACGGGAAATCAACCCTGCTCCAGGGAAGAGGGAGCCTCCTTCTGCAACGGACAAAACAAAGCTTTCTTCCCTTTCTCTTAGCACTCTTGTCAGTTCCATGCACTTTTCATTCTCTTGTCTGTTCCTGGCCCCTTCTTCTTGTATAAAAGTTCTTCTCCCCTGCAAGAAAACAACCAGAGCGGAGAATCGGAGAGGAGGGGGAGTCTCTTCCCAGTCTTATGTACCCAGTCTTCTCAATAAGAAAAGAGAGAGAGGAGCACTCTTGTCCAGCTTCCCTCCTACTGTGTCTTCCTCTCTCGCTGACTGAGAAAAGACAAGATCAAGGACAGCGCAGGGGTTTTTTCGTTTATCTATCCCTTTGAATCTCCTCAAAAAAAGGAACAGAAGACATAGGAGCGTAGGAGAGAAAGAAGGCAAACGGGAGCGAACACGGGAAATCAACCCTGCTCCACGGGGAGAGGGAGCCCCCTTTCTGCAACGGACAAAACAAAGCTTCTTGTTTTCACTCTCTTTCCCTCGGTTTTTGTCAAAAAGAGAAGAGAGAAGCACTCTTGTCAGCTCCTTGCACTTTCTCTCTGGTGTCTGTTCCTGGTTCCTCTTCTTATATAAACGTTCTTCTCCTCTGCAAGATAAGAGCCAAAGCAGAGATTCAGGGGAGTCTCTTCTCAGTCTTATGTGCCCAGTCATCTCAATAAGAAAAGAGAGAGAAGCACTCTTGCCCATGCGTTGTTGTTTCCCTTCTACTGTCCATTCCTCTCTCGCAGAGTGCAGACTGAGAAAAGACAAGATTAATTCAGGACAGCCAAAGGGGACAGGGAAACCTTATTTGTCCTCTTTAGTAGCTTAGCACTTCCCTTGAATACCTACAATCGACAAAATTGGAGACATAGGAACAAGGGACAGAAAGAAAACAAAAGAGATTGTATAAGTGAACTCAGCCGCTGCAGGGGAGGAGGTCCCTTCTTGCAACGAACGTGGCGATTTTGCGAAAGGCTGAAAGTTAATGTTCTACCTGCTTTAGTCGGGGCCCCTCTACTAAGTCATTTTGGCTGGGCTATTCAAGTGGCTGGCCTGCAACCCAACCATTTGGTCTCTGACACTGCTCCTGCCTGTCCGAAACGTGTTGCCTTGCCTTTTGCTTGCGGCCTCTTTGCTGCCGTTGCATTTCGACCCACAGTGTGCCAATGTGCGAAGCTGCACGCCCGCTCTCCCATCAGAAATCGCGCGAGTCGCATAGATGAGCTTGAAAAGAAAACCCTAGACACCTCACCGTTAACCCTACACGTGAAACCCTAAATGCTCCACAAGGGGCGGGTCCCTATAGGGTTTCAGGTTTGTAGTCCCCACACCTTGAAGCCTTATAGGGTTTATTGTTCAACCATGAACCCCAGACCTTTCAGATTCACCGTGTGTTCGTTCGAGCACCTGTCCCAACAATAGGTTAGTTGGAGGGTATATCGTTGTTATTCCGTTTTGCGGGGCGTTCGCGTGCACGGGGCATGAACGGGCATGAACTCGCATGCACGGGCATGAATTCAAAAAATGAAGTATCTGCTCACAGTATTCTCGTGATACCGTGTCCGAATGTTTCATAATCTTTTTAAAAAACAACCTATCCCAAGAATAGGTTCCCACAGCGTCCTCTCCCCTAGAGCTTAGGGGTAGGTCTTTGGGGTTCAGTGCGAAAGAAACACACGGTGTAGTCTCTCTGTTTCGCCTCTAGGGAGGTAGGTAGGCTCTTGTTTTATTATATTTCTTGTTTTTCGGGCTTAAGGTTTAGGGTTAGGGTTTAGTGTTGGGGTTTTGAAGCAGTCTTCAGAGGAGCGTGATGGCCCTATTCGATAACTCTGTTAATCGTAGCAGTAGTATAGGCTAGTATGAAAACAAAGAAAGAGGTCAAATCATACATAAAGGTTCCTGCCTCATATATATATATACATACACATATGTACATATATGTACATAAATGTACATATATACATATATATATATATAAGGGGCTTTGTGCATTTCACATTTGCATCCGCAATTTAAGAAGGGGAAGGCTTCGGGCGGTAGGGTTTCGGGAGCTGTCATTTTCTTAAGAACCCGCAAAATTATAATCCGTACTACCCGCAGAAGGAAGAAGAAGAAGAAGAAGAAGAAGAAGAAGAAGAAGAAGAAGAAGAAGAAGAAGAAGAAGAAGAAGAAGAAGAAGAAGAAGAAGAAGAAGAAGAAGAAGAAGAAGACAAAAATAAAAAAAAATATATATATATATATATAGTCTTTTGGGGGTCTTAAGCAAGTAGTAGTTTAGGGTTGTAGCGTTACATTGAGTATTGTATAGATGCGGCATTCGTCTAGGAGGCCTGGATGTAAAATAGACGCTACATTGTAAATCCTTTAAGAAACCCCAAGCCCTGAAGAGGAGGTTTGTCGTGTTCTTCCCTCAACCCTTGCAAGCCCTAAGCCCCCTTGACCCTTCAAAATGCCCCCTAGTATATTCTAGCCCTAAACCCTAAACCCTAAACCCTAAACCCTAGCCACTTGGTATGATTTTCCATGATCTGCTCCGCAGGACACTCCGGGCAAGCTGGAGAAAACGGCGAAGGCCAAAGGGGTGGGGCCGAGGTGGATGTGGGGTTTAGGGTTTAGGGTTTAGGGTTTGGGGTTTAGGGTTTAGGTTTTAGGGTTTAGGGTTCAGGGTTTAGGGTTTAGGTTTCAGGGTTTAGAGGGGCGCCTCAGAGAGGTCGGATGCAGAAGGGTTTAGGGCAAGGTGCTTCTTGCTGCTTCTTGGTGCAGCAAGGGGCTGCGTGCAGAGGACCCTCCCCGGACCCCCACACCCCACACACCCCCCCTAACAAAAATAGAAAACCTTACTTATACATGGAATCTTGAAGAAGCAACCCCTTCTGGAACCCCCGAGCTCCCCCACCGCGAGACTCGAAAGTTCGCACTCTCCTGCCACCCATCCGCGCAGCGTCAGGTGCGCGTACTCCGAGCAAAGCTAGCCGCCGCCAAGGCCCAGGCGCGCCCTCCCGGGTCTTTTGGGAGGTTTTGCGGGTCCGCGGGGTTTGGGGTCTGGGTTTGGGGTATTCTGGCTTTGTGGGTTTACGGGTTTTTAGGGGTTTAGTGATGTAGGAGTTTAGGGGAGGCCTGGATGCTAAAGGGGCTTCTAGGTTTAAGGTGGGGCTCTAAGTTTCGGTGGTGTGTTGTTGGAGCAAAGCTTTTGGTAGCTTGTCGTAGTGGCCCATAGTGGCCCGGAGTTTAGATGGGGAATGCAGATCACATTTCGGGGGTTCAGGAAGGACTTACAAATTACAAAGTCTTCAGAAGCCCGAGGTGTTTAAACAAACTGATTTGAGCCACCCATTGCATTGGCACAGTGCCCAAGCACAACACTAGGTGAGCCAACTTCTACGGGCTGTCCACCTACACTTCCTAACTCCTATAGTGCTGAAGGGCAGTTGTGCCGAGAGTCCTGGTTCAAACAGAGTTTAGGGTTTAGGGTTTAGGGTTGAGCTCCTCTTGCGAATCAGATTCCGATGCAGGCCCAAGCAAAGGCTGCAGAGGCACAGGGGCACAGGGCGACGATGAGCGGGCTTTGGGGCTTCTGAGCTTCAGGGTTTTAGGGCCTTTGGGTTGGAGGACTGGTCAACCCACAAGTCCGGTTTCAAAAAGGGATATCGGGTTTTACGGCTTTGGGGACTTAGGGTTTTGAAGTTTTCTTCGGGCGTTTCAGTAGTTGGCTTCATGAGGTTGTGGTTAACGGCAGATGTTCGCTTGCGTGCATGCATCCATGACCAGAGCAACGCTCGGGCAATGCGAGCTTGCAGAGACACTTGGACACTTTGGTGAGAGGAAAGGCCTGGTGCCAGCTTCTTTTTGCACAGGCTTGGTATCTCCAATGCTGTTGTCCGACGCCGGTGGTTCGAGCAACGCCATTTTGTTGCACGCGACAGGGTGTCGTCGATCAAGGCGCAGAGTCAAGAGCCAAGCAACACAATCAATACTAGGGCCAGGGAAGCTTGCATGTCTCAGCAGCAGGGTCACCTTCGCACAATCATTTGCCTTTCCTCGGCGGGCATACCAGAAGCACGAGTGGGACCCCTGAGGCTGAAGCCGCCCCCATGAGCCTCGCAAACCGCTGGAATTCAGATGTCTTCAGCATGTGCGTGGCGCTTCGCGAGCAATCGAACTGTCCAGAGCAGCTGACTCTCATTCGCCGTGGTGTGTACAAAGCCAAACCGCTGCTAGCCAGCCTGGAAGCCTTGCACAGCAAGAACGAGGAGACGCTGGGGAGCTTCTCAGAGCGTCTCTTCAGAAGCGAGGTGCTGACACCACTGGAATCAATAGACAGAGAGGGGCTTCACGAGTGCGAGGTGCAGTCCATCCGGGCTTACACCCTGCAGTTTCCCAAGTACTTCGAAGTGCTGAACTCGCTGTTGTATGACTCCCAGAACGCGGCTGCGCAGCGCGACTTGGATGTGTGGCTGGACTTCCTTTCCCACCTGGAATCCGGCATGGAGAAGCTGCGCAGACGGAGAGGGGGAGCTCCCGTGCTCTACAGGCTCATGTGGCTCCCGGCAAACCACTTGGATGAGTATTATGTCGAGGGGAGGGAGATTGTCTTCAAGGGCTTCTCCAGTGCCTCGGATTCCATTCTTGAGGACTTCTATTTTGAGGCGCTGAACGATCCGGAGAGGATCCGGGGCAAGGTGTGCATCCTACTGGAGTTCGATGCCGCCTGCCGCAGGAAAGCTGAGGGTATCAGGTCTTGGTCCAAGTATCCCGCTGAAAATGAGCACCTCTTCGCACCCTACCTGCGCGTGAAGGTGGGTGTGCGAGAGCCCTTAGAGCAGTTTCCCACACGACGAGCAGATGCGCACTTCCCAGTGCTCCGTATCCAGCTGCATGGCACGGAGGCCTTGGCGCCTGTGCCTCAACTGCTGGACTGGAACCATGAAGCCAGTGTCAGCATCAACAAGCTCTTAGAGATCGCACTGGTTTTTGCAATCCACAGCGGTTCGCCCAACATCAGCAACACCCTGCTTGGAATTGAAGGTGCGCTCCGAGAACAAGTGTGTGCTCTTCCTGATTTCATTACTGCGTGTACATTCGAAGTGGACTCTTTGTCAGGGGCGGCTTGGCGGGCGGCTTGGACGACGGCGGCGATGGCGGCAGCGATAGTTTCCGTTTCCGTGGGGCCCTTGTCAGCGCTCGTGTTGTTGTGGCACACGGGACGAGTCCACACAATGCTAGCACAAGCAGCGCGCGCAAAAGTCCAATTCAGACATGCATGTGGATATCGTCAGTACGCGGAATCGGCATCAATGCAGGAGGCGCTTGAGGCGAGCCACTGCAAGGAGCAGTACTTGCAGCGGACTCTCCAATCCATTCGTGAGGACATCATGGAGGATCTCACGCTGGAAAGCCTGCTTTGGCAGTTCGAAAGGCACCTGGTCAGGTGCCGGGAGCTTCACGAACACATCAGCCGGCAGCCAGCTGGGGAGACAGATGAGCTAAGACAGCTCGTCTGCCGCCTTGTGACGATGCTCATCGAGGCGGGCTTCGTGGAGCAAGTGGTGGTGGGGGCTAGAGAGGTGAAGCAAACGATGGACATGTCATACCCATACCCGTTGAGCATGAAGGATGACTTGGATCACGAACGATGGTCGGCAATTCGCGAGAACTTACAAGGCTGGGGCCAGAACGGAATGCTCCATCCCGTGCTGGCAGACCTTGAAGTCGGAAATCAGATACACGAGGAGCCAGGCCCTTCTGGGCTGCAGTCTCCAAAGTCTGTGCTGGCCAGGCTGGATCACTTGCGGGTGTTCCTGAGCCACCTTCGTCTTCTTCTGCCTCTTGGGCTGCCGGACTCCGGGAAGAGCACCGTGCTCAACGCAGCCTTTGGCTTCAGATTCCCTGCAGGGCGCACGGCCGAACTGCGGACGCAGACGCTGCAGATCTGCGAATGTGCAGACTACCCATGGCTGCGGGTAGTGGATGCACCTGGGTACGGGGACGCCGTTGCGGCCCGGAATGATGCCGTGCGACTTGCGGAGTCATTGGCCGAAGGTTGTGCTGGCCTCATGTTCGCCATTGTGGTCCTGGTCTCGGGACGGGATGTCCAGTCAACACTTGATGCAGAAGTTCAGGCATTCAAGCAGATGGGTGTGCGCTTCGTCGTGGTCCTCACGCAGGCAGACGTTCGCTTTGAGCAGTTGTCGTGTGACCGGCTGAATGAAGAGAACCCAGCCGAGGGATCGCCCGAGGAGGCGCAGCTCTTTCGACGTGTGGCAGACGAGATCAAGGAAGAGGACCGCCGGCGCGTAGAAAGGCTGGTTGGGGACGATCCTGTGACGACGTTGTACACATGCTTGGCCGGCAAGTTTGTGGAACGACGGCGAGGAGAAGCAGTGGAACCTGAAGTCAAGCAGGCCTTCTTCGATCATATGCAGCCCTGCACAGGGGCAGGTATCAAGGAGGCAATTTTGCGTGAGCTGTGATCCCAATCGGCCACGGGAAGCAGCACGCCAGCCGTAGGAGTGGAGTGACACTCATTTGCTGTATCAGGTTTGGCAAGTCGTCGGCAAGCACCTTTTGCAAGCAAGCATGCCTCAGCATGCGTGCAGGGAACTCACATCATCACATTTCCTACTCCTCGCCTCATGGCCAGTTTTATTTGCTTCAATTGCTTGCAAAACTTGCACGACATGCCTACGAAGACGCGCAGCCCAGGGTTTAGTTGGCATTGTAGCATTGCGCTCAGAGCCCATTTTGGAAAAATGATGCTGCGTCTGGGCAAGCCGCACCGTACGGCACATTCTGTCCCCCTCCCTATAGCCTCCATTCCTTGCTAGCTGACATGCATTTTTCGCTTCAGATGCTGAGTTCCCTGCTTCTGAATGTAGGCCAGGCTCCTCTCGACACACACGTACACAGAAAGCCACACATGGCTTGCTTATGGGAAGCTTGGCATGGTACATCACTTAGCTGTTGCTGCTCTCCCAGCCCTACAGCCTACAAGCCCTAGTCCCCCCGGTTAGGTTTGTTGTATTGGCCCCACAGACCCTGAAGCCGCAATCCAAAGGCCGTGGAGTCTGCTTCGGTGCCTGAAGTTTATGGGGCTTCGATGTTCAGAGTTCGCCCCCGGGAGCTCCAAATCCCGAAGCCCTAAACCCTGAACCCCCTAAACCCTAAACCCCCTAAACCCCCTAAGCCCCCTAAACCCCAAAACCCCCTAAACCCCCTAAACCCCCTAAACCCCCTAAACCCCCTAAACCACCTAAACCCTAAACCCTAAACCCTGCACCCTAAACCCTAAACCCTAAACCCTACACAGCAGGCCAAAGCACAAGCTGCTGATGCGGAGGCGCAGGGCCAACTTGTGGAGAAATACGCTTCAGGGAGGGTTTACAAGGCCAACCTGATTCGTTCAAAGGGGGGTTTCCAGAGCAAGGAGAGGTAAAGTTGGGCCTCGGGTTTGGCTTCCTGCCTTAGTCTTCTAGGATATTATCGGGTTCAGCGCAGGGTTTAGGGATCTAAGAAGGCTTGGGCAGTTTGGGCTGAAACTATATGCTCAGACGGCCAAGCTTGCACAAAGGCGCGCGGGACAGCCAAACTGACAGGCGTCCGGATCGCCGAACAGAGCCTCAAGATGCTTATGTGGGAATGTCCTTTGTTTGTCTTGATCGGGGAAAAACGGGGAGGAAGGTGCAAACATTTCTCTCGTCGTGAGTTATTATGTTTCAAGCACCTGGCAGACTTCGAAACTGTCAGATGCAAGGCACTCCGTTTGCGCTGAGAAAGAGGTCGCCAGTCGCATGTTCCGATTCAGGGGCTTCGGGTACACGGCCCTTGTCAATAAGATCCCATCAAGCAAAGTACGGATAGCCTTTTGAATTCTTCGGCCTGGGACCTAGCACCAGACAGCGCCCTCCTCGCCAGCAAGCCGTTTTTAAGGGCTGTCGTTCCTGCGAAGTGTGGACTTGCGCAGGCTGAAGCCAAAGGGGATGCAGAAGAACAGAAGGAGGTCACCCGGAGCCGGTTGAGTTGTTTGGGACAATGTCTCGCACTTTCCATTAGGGAGTTACTTGGTGCTTTCACCCTTCTATAGAAGGGACATTTAACTTCCGCATTTACGGGTTTGCAGGACCTAGTCTTCTAGCCTGTGTGCCAGGCCGAAGACCAAGCGGCCGAAGAGGAGCAGAAGGCCCGGTACAGAGGGCGATGGCCCTCTTGGTCGGGTTTCGATATTTATGTATTTTGGAAGGGCTCAGAAAACGATCCATACCCGTCCATACCCCAAAAGCACGGGCCAATGCGGGCCTCAATCGAAGATGATCCAAGCGCAGGCGGAGGCTGCGGAAGATCAGAAGCCAGAGGCCTTCCGTAACCGCGCTTGACACGAAAGTGGCGACAGATGGCCGCAGTGTTTCTTTGTTTTCCTGGTTGCTGCTGTAGTTTTGCTGTTGCTGCACCTTACATCACTCCGACACTCGATCTTCGATGTGTCTTGAATAGTTCTTTTAGATTCCATACGCACGACATGTCCAGGCAAAGCCCGAAGTCGCTGAAGATGACAAGGCAGGACAGGATAAGTCGGTGTCATTGTGCCGGTGGCCTGCGTGACCAGATTAGCTAACCAACATGCCACCATAGCTAGGATGGTGCCCTTCTTCCCTTTCGAGTAGCAGGCTCCCTTATAGACTTCATCAAACACAAAAGGGGTCCCCTTATCCTTTTCGTTTGTGGGGTTTCGGTTCCCATATACACCCCGCCAGACGAGAAGAAGGCCCTCTTCTTGCCACCTTTCGCTGCAAGTGCTACTTTCAGATTACACGCCTTCCGGGCCGTAGCTTCAAATGAGGGAATGCGGTAGCCGATATATCTATATCTATATCTATCTATATATATAGTTATATGTACCCTTTACAGGGCATGTAGAGGGGGCTATAATCTATGAGGTACCTAAGGGGCGGGGCAGGTTGAAGCCGAAGAAGACAAGGCACGGTTGGCAGCTGGCTTCTTTGTCTTGCATGCTGCCGGGGGGAACGAAAGGTCCCCCTAAACCCTAAACCCTAAACCCTAAACCCTAAACCCTAAACCCTAAACCCTAGATGCACACGCGGGAGTGGCCTCAATATGATGTGCCCTTCGGGCAACCTCATGACCTTGACACTGCTGTGAGTTGCTTAGCTGCGACAGCAGGAGAAAGCTGCGCAGGATGAGCCTCGAGAAGATGAGAAGCAAGAGGCACCTGGGTGCCAATGCAAGCCAACCACCAGCCTGCAGCAAGAAGCCACGCGAGCCCGCGCAAGCCCCTATCATGATCTGCACCTGGGCCCGTATAGCTGCTGTCCCAGCTCGTCCCATAGGTGAACGCCGAAGAGGAGAAGCACAAGGCAAGGTGTTCTGCTCTTGTCGTCCAGCGTGTCTTTGCTCTGCAGTTGCGATGGCATAGCAGGCTACGAAGCAGGCACCGCAAGAAGCGACACGACAGAATCGCTGTTTCATGTGGCCAGATGTCTAAGAATATCGTGCAAAGGATCCCCGTTAGAATAGGTACCCCAAAAAGTGAACCGAAGCTGTGAACTGTGGAAGCCCTTTGGTTTTCTTTTTGGGCCATGTACACCTTGCTTCCGGTCCCAGGTAGGGTTTAGGTTTTTTGCCTATACCCTAAACCCCAAAGCCTAAAAGCCCTGGGGTTTTAGGCGCCTCCAGATTCCCCGGAAGTTAACTTTGGCCTTGGTGCAGAAGATATGGTCGTGTGCGAGCTCAAACGCCCCCGTGAACCCTTGGCAATGCTGTTGGCGGCTTAGGCTCAAGGTTTAGAGGGGTGTTTCTGTTTAAGGTTACCTGGGGTTTGGGGTTTGGGAGTTTTGGGTTACCTGTATAGCTTACTGTTGGTTAGTAGGGAATGAGGGAATGAGGGAATGAGGGAATGAGGGTACCCCGTATCCCCCCCTATTAATACCCTTTGAGGGATTATAGGGTACCTCCATATCCCCCTATATACATATATACACCCTTTAAGGGATTTATAGGGTACCTCATTCCCTACTAACCAAGAGTACGGGAGGGCCTGCATGGCCAGGACGAGGCTGCGCAGGTGCCTGAAGCGAAGCAAGAGGAGGCAGCTGCGTTTGTTTCGGGTCTAGGTTCACTTTAGCAAAGTCGTTTAAACTTACATCTATTGCTAGGTTCCCTGTCCAAACGGAAACCCTAAACCCCATACCTGAAAGCCTAAACCCTAAACCCGAAACCCTGCACTTCCCCTAGCCTTTTCAGCTTTCCAGTCCCGAAGCTGGCAGGAACAGGCCACGCCCGCGACAGCAAAGGACTCCAAGGCAAAGCGCGTTTGAGGTTCTGGACTAGGGTTGAGGGTGGGGCTCCTGTGCGTTCGCGACTTTCGGATGCCCTCTCCCTCTGCCCTAAACCGTCCCCTTACATATAAGGTAGTTTCTACTAGACTGTAGGCGAAACTGTAATGACAAGTACGCCATACCGGGAAAGGCCACGAAAATTCTTTCGCAGTTACATCATGAGGGGTTGGGGGGTTCTGAAGGCAAGATTACGGCCCTTATAAAGCCCCTAATCCCTAAACCAAAAACCAACATCATGGGGAGTTGGGGGTTCTGAAGGCAAGGCCCCTTATAAAGCCTCAACCCTGCTTCGCAGGAGCCCGGTGAGCAACAGCCACCCTGCCAAGAGCAGCCGGACGCCTCGAAGACACAGGCGGCTTCAGGTTGTTTTTGGGATTTTGCGGTTTAGGGTGTGGGCTCGGGTTTTGCAGGTTTTGGGGTGTTCGGTTTTTAGGGTTCAGGATCTGTAGCGACTGTTTTTTTCGGTTTTTCGGGGTGTTGCGGAGATGCTTCAAACCGGCTTCGAAGAGCCGCAAGGCCCCGGCGCCGGTTTCGAGCGCCCGATCCGGGGGGGTTTACGAAAATTTGGGGACCCTTAATGTCTAGACCCCCAAATAGTATAGGATTGCTTTATAATAAGGACCCCTAATAAGGTACCCTTCAGGTCGGAAACCTCCCATAGGGGGGCGTTTCTTCCGCGCTCCTTCCGGGAGATTTAAACTCTAAACCCTAAACCCTAATCCCTAAACCCTAAACCCTAAACCCTAAACCCAAACCCCAAACCCTAAACCCTGAACCTTGCAACGTTAAGGGTGGAAGTCGGGGGGGAGGGGTATCGGTTCAGGGTCTGGCATTGAAGGTGTAGGTGGGGATGTTCCCCCTTCCACCAACAGTTCTTCATAGGGACTCTACCGTATCCCCTATGATAATCCCTAGTAAGGACTGCTAGTGTAAGGGGGAACATCCCAAGGTGTAGGCTATGTTCAGGGCCAAAGCGAGTCGAAGCAGAAGCAGTGATGCCTCGACGTGCATGGCGAGCCGTCTACCCGACTCCTACCTCAAGCATGAACTGTCAAAGCCCCAAAGCTTGGGAATTGTTTTTTTGGTTTTGTTGGTACTGTATTTTCTGAGAGAGAGAGAGAGAGAGAGAGCTAGAATTATCGTTTTTGCTAGGGTTCCAAGTCCAGCATAGAAAACTGTAGCTCACCAGTTGTCCGTGATCCTGGCCTTGGCAAGTGGGGACGACGCATTGACTTGCTCCTTTGGTCTTCAGCCATGGCGACGGCTATGAGCCACGGGAGGGGTGCTGCCTGGCTCCAGGAGGCCGGGTCCACTTGGAGGCAGGTGCTCCGACTGCTGCTGGGAACCTGGATGGCGCTGTGTGGTGGTAGCCTCTACGCCTTCTCAAGGTTCGAGGTGCAGATTATGACCAGGTGCAGCCTGACGGCGCAGCAGCTGGACGTCATCTATGCTGCTGGCCAGGCCGGCGTCGGTCTGGGCATCATACCAGGCACCCTGTTCGACCTCTACGGTCCGGTGGGCACATGCCTCTACGGCGCTGCCTTTACGGCTGCCGGGAACCTTGGCTTGGCCACCATGCTGAGCCGCAATCAATGTGGAGGTGTTGCCACGTTGGCTACGTGGTACTTTCTGGTACAGCAAGGCTCCGTGGCAATTTTCCAAGCCGGCCTCTTCACCAATATTGCTGAAGCCCCGCCCAAGATGCAGGGCATCGTCACAGGCATCGTCTCCTCCGGCTATGGCCTGTCTGCAGCATTTGTCACTCTTCTCTTTGCGTTCTTCGATGAGGACCTTGATCTGTACTTCAAGGGCACCGCGCTGCTTTTCTCTGTCACCGGGCTTTTGGCAGCCTGCGCGATGCCGCTGCTTCGTGGCGGATCTGGCGGATCTCGTGGCGCCCGCGCGTATGGTCGCTTGGACAAGGAGGAGGCGGCAAGAAGGTCTCCGCCAGCAACAGCATACGGTCGCCAAGAGCCAGAAGAGCTCCCTGAAACTCCGATGCCACATGTCGCAGCTAGGGCGCCAAGCCTCAGCCGCCGCGAGATCCTGTGCCGAGCGGACTTCTGGCTTTTTCTGCTCCCTTTCGTCCTCGTGCAAAGCATTGGATCTGGCCTCTACATCGCGAACCTCTCGCTGATCGGGGACTCCCTGGGCATCTCGCCAGACAGTCGGGCAGTTTACGTCCGCGCGGTGTCCCTTAGGGGCATATTGGAAATACATTTCATAATTGTTGGTTGGGAACTTCAATTCCTAAGAAACAGCTAACATTACAATTTTTGCTAGGGTTCCAAGTTCAGTAGAAACCATAAACCCTAAACCCTAAACCCATAGGTCCTACTGCAACTGTCTGGGCCGCATCTGCAGCGGCCTGGCGATGGACACGCTGGAGCCTCGAGGCATCCACCGCTCCGACCACCTGCTGCTCAGTGCAGCTGCTGTCATACTGGCCTCATTGGCCCTCTTTCTACTACCGGAGGAGATCCCAGGTAGGCCCTTATTAGGGGATATCTTTTTTTGAATGTTCCCTTATTGGGGGTTTAAGAGGGTCATATTGAGGAATATCAAGTTTCGGAGGGGTTTATAAGGGCCATCCTAGGATAGTTCCCACCATGCTGCTCCCGGCGCTGGCAGTCATCGCCTTTGCTTATGGGTCCAACTGGGCAATCATGCCCTCCTACATCTCGAAGCGCTTCCTTGGCTCGCACGTGGGCGTGATGTTTAACATCCACAGTGGCCACATCGCGCTGGCGGTGCTGCTGACGTCCTACGCGGTGGGCGGCCTCTACGACGCCCAAGCCGAGCTGCAGGGCGCAGACAGCTTCTGCCGCGGAACGATCTGCTGGCGCCCGGCCTTTGCACTCGGCCTGTTCGCACAGGCCGCCGCGCTCGCGGTGGCGCTGCTGCTCATGTGGAAGGTCCGCCGCCCGCAGGCCTCGGAGTGCAAAGCCTCCTCCGAGAAGACCTGCCATGACAAGTAGGGTTTAGGGTTTAGGGTTTAGGGTTTAGGGTTTAGGGTTTAGGGTTTAGGGCTGCAAAGAGCTGCCCTGAGCTACAGCGCGCGCCTCACAACGGCCCGTCTGCAACATGCAGCAAGTGGGCAAGCGTCTGTTCTCGGCACAGTTTGTTCAGGTTTGGGAAGTGGGGTTCTGGCAGCTGCGTTTGGCAGAGTTTGTTATAGTACGCTTCTAGGACACTACACCCGAAAGCCTAAGAACCCCAAACCCTGCCGCGGGCGAGAATAGCAACCAGAGTCGAAAACCCCTAAGCCTTACGCCCTAAACCCCTAAATCTGGCGGGCTTTGGGAGTTGTCTAGAGGCCCCCAAAACCCCTTCGGGTCCTAATACACGCTCAACTGACTCTAAGGACCTCCATCTCCACCCTAAACCCTAAACCCTAAACCCTAAACCCTAAACCCTAAACCCTAAACCCTAAACCCTAAACCCTAAACCCTAACTGCCCTAACTTGTACATTCCGAAGATCTTTTTTGAACCCCTCCAAGCCCGTCAGGAGCTACCGACAGGACTTGCGAGCATCCTGGGTGAAGGCCAGTTGGAGTTCAGGGAAGGTGGGCTGCTGGGGGGTTGGGGTTTAGATTTAGGGAGTTTCGGTGGTTGGGGGGCTTAAGTGGGGGTTTTTGGTTTAGAGGGTTTGGGGGGCTTGGGGGGCTTTTGGGGGTTAAGGGATTCAGGCTTACGGAGGGTTTAGGGCTTCTCTGGCAGACAAAGAGTACATGGTCGATTTGATTGTCACTCGTTCCACGTCGCTTCTTGACCCACAGAACTAGATCGCCCCAACAGGCCGAGCAACTACATCGAGTTTTGGGGGCCCCAAGGGGCGAGGGGGGGTGGTGGGCTTTTCCAAAGTTAGAGGGTGTTCCGTTTTATTGGAGATTGCACACAAAAGGCGCCTAATAATTGGAATAGTGTTTATTTAAAAGTTTAATCATAAAGGGACCATAAGGGAAGATGATGAGTAATTCTTCCGACCTCTATAGTAATTAGTTTCAAGAACGGCCCCCGGTGTGTTCAGGTGAAGCCGCCGGCTTGCCACCGACACCCGCACAGATCCCTGGCACACCTGTGTCCGGAGCCTGGCCACCCTAAACCCTAAACCCTAAACCCTAAACCCTAAACCCTAAACCCTAAACCCTAAACCCTAAACCCTAAACCCTAAACCCTAAACCCGGGTTCTTCGGCCCTAAAACCCCTTGAAAAGGCCCTTTGCAGGGTTGACTATGGGGATGATAGGGCCGAATCGCCCATCCTGGTGTGAACCCCTAAACCAAGCTGCCCTGTCTGGCAGAATCATGTCAACATCTGTGCTCCAAAGCAGGACAATGCCCCCAGCAGTAGGCTGAGAAGAGAAGAGAAGGCCATGCAGGCAGCACCTTCAGCTGCAATGAGGATCAGGGTCGGCCGGTGCATGGGCTACATGCCCTATCTGCGCGCCCGGCTCCACCGTGAGATAGCCCCAGAGGCATCTCGTGTTGGCAGGTCGTTCCTCGCGACCGAGGCAGCCAAGGACCACCGCGTGTGGCACTTGCCAGAGTGGGCGGAGAAGGAAGCCCGGCCTCCTCGGCAAATGAGCATCTTGGGTGCCGCGGTGCTGCTTCCACTTGGTGTGGGCTCGCTTGCGGTGCACCTCTTTGCGGAGGGCGAGGACAGCAAGGTGGCCAGATCTGAGGAGGAGCCTGCGGCAGGTTGGCAGGAAGACGTCTCAAGCGTCTCAACCGCCTCAGACGTGTCACTATATCCTCCTTTGGAATTATTTTTTTTATATAATTTTATATAAAACCCATAAGGATATTAAGCATATTATCTTTATTAATAAGGTCCTAAGGGGAGTATAGGTCACGCCTCAGCTTGAACTGGTCTTTGCATTACGCCGGCGCCCTGCTGTCCTCGGCTGGAGCCATGCACTGGGGAATCTTTGTCATAGTTGGGTAACATTTTCACATTTTCATAAGGAATAAAATGAGATTTTTCGTATTATGCCAACAATGAACTAGGAATGCAGCTGGCCGAGCTTGGCGTGCCGAAGCGCAGTGACTCTTGGGAGCCCACTGGTGCCCTTGTTCCCCTGTTTTTTGGTTCAAGGCTCCCTTGTACAGTAACCAACCCCAAAAAAGAAGGGTGCCCTTGTTCCTATATATAAAGAAGTGTGCCCTTGTTCCTATATATATATATATCTATATATACATACATAAATAAATATAAATAAATAAATAAATATATATATATATGTGGTTACTGGGGTACCAAGGACTACATGAGCCTGTACTATCTGTGCCGCTACAGCGCGCCCGCGGTCTTCGTCTTCTTCGGCTGGGTCGCCTCGGTGTTCAGCACCGCGCTGCCCTTCGAGGCAGCTCTCTGGTTGCTCAGCGGCTTCGCTGGCCTGCTGAGCTTTGACTTCTTGGCTTATGGCTTCCGCGTGGCGCCTTCGTGGTGGTTCCGCTGGCGAGCTGGATTCAACCTTTCTGCCATCTCGTGCATACTCGTGCTGCTGCTGAGCGAGCGAAATCTCTACTTGGGCCAGAAGCCGAAGATGCGAATGTGAAGGCGAAGGTGGGAAAGTAGGAAACATGGGAAGAACCCTGTTTCGCTAGTATCAGCCATATGACCAATGTGTCACTATCTTCTTCAAGATTTGGATGTCCTGCGCGTGCGCTAGCTGTGAGAGTCGGAATGCTAAACCCTAAACCCTAATCCCTAAACCCTAAACCGGGCTGTGGGCTCGAGGCGAGGCACGTGGAGTTTGCTTTCCACATTTGCTGGGGGATTTCACATCCAGCGTGCCATGTTGAAACAAACCCTACTTGGAGGATCAGGGTACTTATTAACCCAGCTGGTACTGTACTTATAACCCAAATTATAACCATATTGGGGCACTTGAGGGGCTCATAAGTGGGTTATAAGTCCAGTTATCATTGGTTAATAAGTGCCATGAACCTCCAAGTGAACTCTGCGCACCGAGGTTCGCCGGCCTTGTAAAAGCACCCGGCCGCGAAGCGCCGGTGCACCGAGCTGCAAGAAGAAGGGTGCTATTGGTGGTCCAGCACACGTTCGGGGTGTGTGTGTGTGTGTGTGTGTGTGTGCCGCCTTGTAATAGGGACCCCACAAGTGACCATTATTTCGCGTCCCGGCGAACCTGTCCCCTAGTTGTCCAAGGCTGCCATTGCAGCCGCGGGCCACGCAGTACCGGGCCCAGAACCGCTAAGAATTATCTTCGGATCAGCTAAGGGGGTCGTAAGTTCGCAAGATGAGAAGACCTGCTAAGCCCCTACAGGCCTAAGAAAGGGTGGGGCTTGTGGTTTTGGGGTTTTGGAGAAGACCCGATGACTCCCTACAAGCTAAGAAAAGGGCAGGGCTTTGGTGATTCGATTTAGGGTTTAGGGTTTAGGGTCTAGGGGTTAGGGTTTAGGGTTTAGGGTTTAGGGTTTTTTTCGGGGCTTGAGCTTCTTTAGCAGTCACTCCTTTCTGGGCCTACGAGTCCGCTTGCACCGTGCCCGTAGCTTCGAAGGCAGCGGCACTGGTGCGCAATTCGGCTCTGCCGCTTTAGGGTTTGGGGTTTTAGGGCCTAAACCCTAAACCCTAAACGCTAAACCCTAAACCCTAACTCGAGCCTAAATCCCCAACCCCTGACGTCCTTAGTCTTCAAGGCTCATAGCCGCGGTCCTACAAAGTGTCGAGAGTCAGCTTAGCTGGGGGTTTTGGATGGGGGGTAAGGGAATCCTACCCCTTATTTTAAGCCCTAAACCCTAAACCCTAAACCCTAAACCCTAAACCCTAAACCCTAAACCCCAGCTCGAAGCTTCCGAAGCCCTGCTCAGGTGCAGCGCGCTTATGCTGGACCCGCCGACGGCCGAGTCATTGATGGGGGCCCGTTGCAACGGGTTTAGGGTTCAGGCGAACATTGCGATTTTGCTTAAGAACCCCCCCCAGACAATGGAAACAATATTCTTCCTTGTAGGGGCGAGAAAGGGATTATTGTGGTATGCCTTATTGGGGTTCTTAAGCAACCCTAAACCCTAAACCCCAAACCCCAAACCCCGTAGGGATTCTGAAGCGAATGGTTGAATGGGTTTAAGGTTCAGGCTAGGGTTTAGGATTCATGGCTGGGTTACATGGCAGTCGCACAGGGACAATCGGGGAGAGTATGGGTGAATCCCAATGTCCCCCTCAAAAGTGGCCCCATCTCCTGGGACCTCCAAGCCCTAGAAGCCAGCTTCTTGTGGTTTTGGGGAGTCGGCTCGATTGCTGCTTGTTCCTTGCAAGGTTTATGGCCCCCGACAGACGTCACAGCAGTGAGAGGCAGGTAGCAGTAGCATTCCATACCTACACGTCCCTTGGAGAGCAGCCCGAAGTCGCAACCCTAAACCCTCAACCCAAAAAGCCCTCACCCTAAAGGGCCCAAGACCCCAAATAAGAAGGCCTTTGGGCCCCCAAAACAGGTGAAAGGCCTGCCTTAAAAACCCTAAACCCCAAACCCCAAACCCCAAACCCTAAACCCTAAACCCTAAACCCTAAACCCTAAACCCTAAACCCTAAACCCTAAACCCTAAAAAACCCTAAACCCTAAGGTGTCCCGGTGGATGATCTCGCTCAGCGTGCCGGCCATGCAGCACTACGTCTTCAAGCATCCCCAGGTGCCGCAAGAAAACCGTGTTGGGTTTAGGGTTTAGGGTTTAGGGTTTAGGGTTTAGGGTTTAGGGTTTAGGGTTTAGGGTTTAGGGTTTAGGGTTTAGGGTTTAGGGTTTAGGGTTAAAAGGGGGAATGCACCGGAGGATCCCCAAGATTGTTCAATAAGGAGTTCTCAAGGGCTTAGGGTTACAACCTACTTGCTGCGCTGAGCTCCATAAGGCCTTCAAGTAGGGATGTGTGCATGACGCCCTAGGGGCTTGACTCAGCTATGTGCCCCGTTTTGGGCTATGCCATTCTGGTGTACTCCTTGTACTTCAGGGCGCCGCAACGGGGCCCTTGACTGCAATCCTGGGCCTCTATTTGGGCGGTCGATTGTAGGCTTATATATATATATATACTCCGTGTAGTTTAAGTTACCGCCAAGGGCCCATGATCCATATTAAAACCCGGAACCCTAAACCCTAAACCCTAAACCCGAAACCCCCTCTCTGCTTAGGTGGTAGACATGACGGACCACAAGCTCTGGAAGTACACCGAGCCAGGGCCCCTGCGCGCGCTACTGAAGCCCTGAACCCTGAACATTTTTCTGGACCCACCAATCCAAGAACCCTGTAGGGTTTAGGGTTTAGGGTTTTATAGGGTTTATAGGGTTTATAGGGTTTATAGGGTTTATAGGGTTTATAGGGTTTGTAGGGTTTGTAGGGTTTGTAGGGTTTGTAGGGTTTGTAGGGTTTATAGGGTTTATAGGGTTTATAGGGTTTATAGGGTTTAGGAGGGGCCTTTGGGACATTTTGTATTTCCCCTACTTGTACAGGGTGTAAGATGATCATGTTCAGGAATACTGTTTCGGAGGGTTGTCAGGGACATCCTAGTATGAAGGGGCCTTGTAGCAATTCATAGCCTACAAAAAATGTCGGCTTTCTTTTGCTCCAAAGGCAGCCCTAGGCCCAAACTCTAAAGCCCCAACCGAAACAACAAAACTTACAGCCGACCCGGCAAAACACCCCTACGACTCGGGCACTAAACGATTTTTCTGGTTCCTTTTTTGAAGGTTTTGAGGGTTTAGGGTTCAAAGTTTATAGGTGTTTCTCGGTCCAACCTAGCCTATATAAAGCCCTAAATCCTTCCTGCATGCCGAAGGTCGTTCGCGGCAAAGGCCGATCTTGAAACAGTGAAGATCAGCGCGGGGGATCTCAGGTCTTGTTTAGGGTGTAGGGCATTAGGGTTCAGGGTCTGCAGCGCTTACCCAGCACCTCTTTGCGGGGAGTGTTAGAAGGGGCTCTTACGAGCATTCTAGAGTAAGCCACAACGAAGTCGGTCACGTGCTCTCGAGGTAGCAGGCTTGCAGGATTACAAGGGGGTTTCGATTTAAGGTTTAGGGTTTAGGGTTTAGGGGGCTGCCTAAGAGTAGGTACAAACCTTGAACCCTAAAGCCTGCATGTACCCCCCTCCCTCAAGGACCCTACACACTTTGGGTAGGCCTGGGTCCTCAAGAATGTATGAACCAGATTCCGGCACAAAGCCCTAACTCCACCAGACTGAGTTGCACCGCCTAAACCCTAAACCCTAAACCCTAAACCCTAAACCCTAAACCCTAAACCCTAAACCCTAAACCCTAAACCCTAAACCCTAAACCCTAAACCCTAACAAATCCCTGAGCTTGAGAGAATCTCCTGTCAACTCGAAACTTGTAAATCTGCAATTTCTTACACTGTGAGTTGAACCCTAAACTCTCTATCTAACACCCATATTGAATTCACCCGAAACGCTTTAAAAAAACACCCTTATCAACCCTCCCCTAAACCCGAAATTCCAAGCGCCCGAAATGGATTTCGCCCTGGCTGCGCCGAGACCTTCCTGTCCTCGCTGGAGCGGCGCTTCGGGGAGACTTTGCTGGATAGACTCACAGCCCCGGATCTTACAGAAGCCTTCCGTGGGCCCAGAGTAGGCCCTTGTCTTAGGTTCCCTTACACGCCCTTGAAAAAACCAGAAGGGCAGCTTTCTGTTCCTAGGTTTGCTAGCTTTTGCCCCCGGTGGAGTACCTTGTCGGGAGCTCTCCCTTATTGAGTTGCTTTTAAATGCGCATCGGCGTCCCATTTTGCACCCCAAGACAAAACGGAGTATACTATACCTAAGGCCCCAAAAGGGTTTTGTTTAAGCAAAATACCATCCCAACATCTCTTGAGAATTTTCCCAAACCCTAATTTCCAAACCCTAAACCCCAAACCCTAAACCCCAAACCCTAAACCCTAAACCCTAAACCGAACGACTCAAACGCCGAGGAACAACTTCAGGAGCGAAAGCCACGCCCAAAGCTCAGCGTCTGGTGTGCCTTGATGATGCTGCTAACTTACCTCAAGAAACCGACAACCTACTTTTTTTTGTATTTTCAAGCTCCTAAAAGAAGCTTCCCCCAGGCATCTTGCAAACACATGTACATTTTGGGTCGCATCTGGGTCTCTCACAGCACAAAAGTCCTGAAATTTAGATTGGGTTCCAAGGTTTAGGATTTAGGGTTTCAAGTACCCGGCAGTCGTTACGAGGCCTGGACGTAAAAGGATTTAGGGTTTAGGGTTTTTGTACCAGCAGCTGCTTTTTCTGGCATTCCCCACCCAGCCCAGATGGAAAAAGGTTTTTTTGGTTTTTGCTCCTGAGTCCGTGCTTAAAAGAAGGCTTTTGCTTCTAGGCACCTTCTCAGAGCTGCCAGCCACGAGTTTCCGGGTTCGGGTAGAACTGTAGGGTAAACCCTAAACCCTAAACCCTAAACCCCAAACCTTGCCAGAGCCTCAGTCCATGCTTAAAAAGCAAGGGTTCTGGGGTTCTGGGTTGGGATGTACCCCCTTATACTAACAGTCCTTAATAGGGATTATTGTAGGGGTTACTATAATCCCTATGAAGGACGGTTAGTATAAGGGGGAACATCCCAAGATGTAAGGGCAACCAGACCAAAGCCACTGGAAGGCGAATGGTTGCCAAAACTGCAGGGCACGAATTGGCAAAACCAACCAATTCGCGCAACCGCGGCTGAGAATCAGCGGGTGTTCTTCTTCCGCCAAGAACGGACAGACATGATGCCCCCGGTGAATGTTCTGGGGGCACAAAAGGTGCCCAAAACCCTAAACCCTAAACCCTAAGCCCTAATTAACGCCTAAACCCTAAACGGAGCATTATCAACACACCCCCAGGTCAGAGCCCGATCGGGCAATTAGGCATTCCGGCAGCAGTTCAAGAACTTTGGGGGTTGGGGTTTAGGGTTTAGGCTTTGGGGTTTAGGGTTGGGTTTAGGGTTTAGGGTTTAGGTAAGTTTGGGCTTCAGGGGTGAAGGGTTTGGGGTGATCAGGGTTTAGGGTTACAGCTCCCTCTAAAGGCACAGCGTCTGCGTGACATTGGGAGAGTCGACATCCTTTGGCCTTTTGGCAGGAGTCCGAAGAGGATTTCTAGCCAACAGGATGTTCATCTCTACTAGGACCAGGACCCAGGGGGTAGGCCCTTGTTTCCCTTTTTTGGGGGTTTAGGTTCCCTTGCAAGCTTTCTATTCCTAGGTCACTCTTGGGTCTGTCTAATGTCCCTGGCATCCTGGCATTTTTCTGGCATCATGTAAAGTTCTTCGAAGGCCGGAAGCCTCAGAAGCCTTGAAGCCCGAGAAGGGGCCCTTAAACCCTAAACCCTAAACCCTAAACCTTAAACCCTAAACCCCAAACCCTAAACCCTATAAACCCTAATCTTACTCCCCTATATAACCGATATATTATACCTTATATAGTCCCAAAGCCATGAGAAGAGCTAAGAGGGACCCTTAATCTTATTCCCCCTATAGAACCCTTAGAGAAATATCGTTTATAGTCCCTATATACCTAAGTAGCCCTCGAGGTACCATTCGCATCCTGAAGACGTGCCTCAACCAGCGAATGCAGCGGCAGCGGCAGCAGCAGGAGCAACAGCCGGAGCCAGAGCCAGAGGAGGAAGAACCAGCGGAGGCGCTGGGCCTGCGGTTTCTGTGCGAGGGGGGGGGAGCCCTAAATACCCTAAACCCCCACAGAACCCCAAGCACAAGCCCTAGTCCTAAGCCCTAAACCCTGACCCACCACCCTCCAAAAACAGCCCCACGCCCCTTAAAGAAATGAAAAAACAACAAGGGCTCTTTGATTCCTTCGGATGAGTCACAGGAGGGTTGGCTTGGGAATTCTAAACCCTAAACCCTAAACCTGAAACCCTAGACCCTGGGGTACATCGCTTCTTCAGGCTGAAGGTGACGTGTGCTGTTTTTCAAGCCACTGGTTTAAGGTTTAGGGTTTAGGGAGGAGGTTTAAATTTAACAAGCCACAAAGTCTGCCGCTCAGGCCCAGGGGCCCCTTTTTTCCAGTTTGGGGGCTTCGGGTTGTTGACTGTGGCTTTTGGTGTCGATTCCTCTTCCCAAACCCAAAGGAAGTAATGCGCAAGGTACTCTGTCTCTTTGGCTCCGAAACCATACAGCAAAAAATGCCCGGAAGCCTCAACACCATCCCTTCAAGCACGTACAAGCTCGAGAACGGCCTTACGACCCAAAGCTTGGGATGTTCCCTATGATACGAACAGTCCTTAATCGAGATTATAATGGGGTTCACTGTAATCCCTGTTAAGGACTGTTAGTATAAGGGGGAACATCCCAACCTGAAGCATTATTCCCTAAGCCTTCAAAAAGCAAACCTCAAAATCTCGAAGCGCTAGATGACGGGGAGGCAGCTGATGGCAAGAAGTCCAAGGTCAAGAAGAAGGCCAAGGCCAAGCCCAAGCCAAAGGTAAAAGGCCAGGCGCCCAGTGGAAAGTACCTAAACCCTAAACCCTAAACCCTAAACCCTAAACTCTAAACCCTAAACCCGCAGGGTTCAGGGGACCTACAGGGCTTGGAGGGTTTATCATAGCATTGCCGCGTGTACAGGGCAGTTCGGGTGAGTGGAGGTTTAGGATGTAGGCAAAAAGGTTGAGGGCCGCTTTCGCCCCTTAAACCCCCCCTTAAACCCCCACAAACCCCCCTTAAACCCCCCTTAAACCCCCCCAAACC